TTTGGAAAATTTTAAATATTTATATAGCAAAATACATAACAAAATAAAAGAACAAGTAAGTGTAAAATATTTGATCATGATTAATATACTCACAAGGAAAAATAATAAATTTTGTTAAAGATAAGAAACGGACATTGAATCACATACCATGGTTGCATTGTTAAATATCATGGCATATAGAAATATTCTAAACACGAGCATAAGCCCAATGATGGGATTTCTCGAAAAAGCTTGCGAAGGTGAGTTTTTTTGATAAACTCTCTAGGGGAAAAGATACTTTTGGATCCCACTAGTACGATGGGAAAGTTCGAAAAAAATATCTTTAATAAAAAAGCTTTTGGCTCGTATTAGGATTTACATTCAAGAAAATGTTGTTTTCATTTGCAAACGATTACCCCGATGATGGGATCTACTCGTTAAATTTGCGAAGACGAGTTTGTCGGGTATTTTTTATAGGTAAGAGGATACTCTCAGATTCCACCAGTATGATAGGCGGATTCGAAAATGACACTCAATAAAAGGTTTTCGTTTGGCATTATCTCGATTTTATGCTATACATATCACAATTGCATCACGTGTACGTCAAACACGAGAAAAAAACTAAACAAAAATGTTTTTTTTATTTGTTAATAGAATAAAAAGTGGATCAAATGAATAAAATTAAGGAAACATAAGAATAAAGTTAATGGATTAGGATAATATATGATTAAATGGTACCGTTCGTGGAACGAGCGTCATAAAGGTGCTAATCTTTCTCTATGCGCAACTGTACTCCTGAACCCAACTCTAAACAAGATACGTGGACTTGTTATTATTTTTTAGATGGATTTAAAAATCGATTTAAGATTTTATCGAAGAAAATAAAATTATTAGGTGGCCAATCACACCTAGGTAAAAACGATTTGGTGGTAACTTCACAAAGTATTTTCACGTCTAGTGGTCGGGTTCTCGAATTCGGCATGTTACAACAATACCAAATGAGAACAGAGGAGGGTCAAGAGATAAGAGGGAGGGAGAAGAGAAAAAAAATAAAGAAAATGAGAAAAATTAAATAAGAAAAGATAAAGAAATGAAAACTATAGATATAAGAATTAGATAAAAAGTGAAAAATGAAAAAAAGTGCACAAAAATATGATTTATTTTAATTATATTTCTTATTCATTATTTTTTTAATTATTTAAAAATTTGTAGACACAATATTAGTCTAATTATTTATTCATTTTTATTTTATTTTTTGATTTAATTTTTAATTTTATGTTGATTTGATTCTTAGATTAATGGGTTTATAATTCAAATTGGTTCATAACCTAAATGGGTTATGAGGCAATGGTGTTGGGTTGGTAAGTCCATAAATTAAACAATAAAAATAGGGTAAAGAAATATAAATGAAGATAAAAAAAAAAAGAAAGCTA